ATCCTATGGCTGCAGGCTGTAACGTACTGAATCCTTTCACACAGACTCAGAGTGGCTGAGGTTGGAAGGGACCTCTAGAGATCATCTAGTTCAACCCCCCTGCTCCAGCAGGGACACCTGGAGCACATGGCACGGGGTGGCATCCAGGTGGTTTGGAAGACTTCCAGGGAAGGAGACTCCACAGCCTCCCTGGGCAGCCTGTTCCAGGGCTCTGTCACCCTCACAGGAAAGTTCTTCCTCACATGCAGATGGAACTTGGTGTATAATATCAGTGGCCCATGTTTGAACTTTCTTGAAATATAATGTCAGGAAGGAAGTGGAAGTTTGCTGTCTTTGGTGCTAGTAAAACAAGCTTAATCAGATGCACACAGTTTCTGCTGAAATGCATTTTAAAAACTTACTGGTTGCAGTGAAAATCCTGCTGCTCCAGATCTTGCATGCTGGCTACTTATCCAGCGTTGCTGCTGTACCCATCGCCTAAAAATCCCAGAACACAAATATCAAACACTGTTTTACTGCTCTGTATCAAGTTTACAGCTGCTTTCTTCTACAAGCCATACAACAGTAAGTGTAAAAAGCATATACTGCTAAAAGACTTTAATTCCAGGGGTTTTTTTCAGATTTGGTTTTTAAACCAGCAAGTAAAACAGCTGCACCTCCTTCTTCAGGGCTTTTCTAACGTTTGGAATAGGTGCAAGAAATTAACATCTTGAATGCGGACATGGTCATGCTCTGCTCCTCAAATTCTCAGTCTTTACAAATTGAGTTAACTAGGGGTTCTAGTGAGCCAGCTCCCTCTCCAAATACGTAAATTACCTTGAGAACAGCATGCGTGTGTGTATGTGTGTATATATGCACACACATATATATATATATATAGGTTTACTTTTCAGGGAGTTTTACTGTACTTCTTGAAATTAAATCAAATGGGTGACTCGCATTTGAGTAGAAATGATCTTACCTGTGAATGAGGTGTTCAAACTGGAGTACCTAAAACGTTGCTTCTGGCAGTGATGCAATGAAGGTATCATATGGAAAAATATGTTACCTGCTGATAAACAGCTGTCTAGAGTGAGTTCTATACATCTTGGGGCAGCTGGAGGGAAAGACTGTGCTAATAATGGCTGTGCAGCATGTATCAGTACCAGAATAGCTACCACAAAGAAACTTCCTCAAACACAACTCTAAATGCACTTGAGAGAACCTGTTCTGCTCTTGGTATCACCAAGCCACTTCTTACACTGGCAGGGCTAGGTGCTAGTAGAGCGAAACCCAGCCAGTAACACTGTAAATATACTGCACAGTTTGGGTTTTAGAAAACTTCAGCTGCTTAAAAATGTAATTTATTTCATTTGAACCTCTGTCAAAGCACAAGACCTTTGAAGCTGGAGACCTAAACATTAATAATACAAACATTGAGAACTACTGCACTAGGCGGGCTGTTTTTGCAGGACAGGGGAAATCCTTACTGATGATTCATCTGAATTTCACTTCATAAAATCGAGTTCTTGAAATAAAACATCACTTCTTCATCTTTAAAGTTTCCAAATGTTCTTCTCTTTTGAAACTCTGCTAGCTCTTTTGTTTTTAAAGACTTTTAAAGATCTATCCCTGTTATGCTACAAGTTCCTATGTTTGTGGCCCTCTTTGCTCCTTTATGTTCAAATTCCCTTAAGGCTGCTGTCCCCATCTCATCAGCCTTCTTGTACCTCTTGGAAAAAAAAAAAAAAAAAAAAAAAAACTTAAGGCACTTTTAACACATAAGGAAAACATTTAAGAATGTGTTCCCTGAACACATGGCTTGATTTTGCTGCTGGTTTCCATCTGATGAGACCAAGATTAGGTGTCCCGTTACTTTATCCTCCTGGGCTGAGATGCCCATGACTACCACATTAGCACAATAGATGATTAAATTTCTATACAAAATGAGTTCCCATTAAAGGCCACTGTCACAAAACGTAGGATGAGTTGATCTTCCCAACTCTCCTTTTTGCATCACCAAGTGGGTCAAAAATAAGCAGATAAAACAATGAAGCTAAGTTGGAAAAGCAAACAAAAAAAGCTATAAAATAAATTAACCAAATGAACTCCTTTGCACTTTCAAGGAAAGTTCTTTGTTGATGAGAAGCTGATCTAACCACTTGGTATCTTATCTCTACTGACTTACTTGTTTTTATACTTGATATAAAGTATTTATCTACTTAATAAATGTTATCTCCTCCTCCTCTTTTTCTCCTGCTCTCTCCCACATCAGTTATAATAAAGCTGTTCTGAACACTGCAAATCTGACTTGCAAATTTGGTGTGAAAGGCCACTTTATTTTCAGAGAGCTACTTCATATTTTCTCAGCTGAAAAGCCTCTCTGTAATGTGCATAGATAGGTATTTTGGACCACATGGGCTACCTACCATCCTATACTAACCTTATCTTTACGTGGAGATGTCTGAAACGTAGCTCCCAGCTTGCTGGCTGGGGAGCAGACGCTTTGCAGCAGGGCACGTGCAGCCTCCGAACGCCGCAGAGCTTCGTGCTCCTCTCTGCGCCACACTACGCTGGTCAGAGCAATGGAGAAAAACAGCGGTAAGAGCTGGCCTAAGCATGCATATGGAAAATGTGAGAAATCGAATTTATTTCTTTACGTGGCATAAAAGATACTTGGAAATAGCTGTTAAAAGTGCTAATTTTCATCATCAGCTGTTTTTAAATCACACATTGTAGCATGTTAGCATGAAGATGGTATTTGTGAAATTCGGTTGCAGTGCTGAGCCCAAAAACAGAGCTTCAAGAGCTGAAGGAGCTTCAGCACATGCAGTGCATACAAGTCTCCTGCGAGCTCCTCCTGCTGCTCAGGGCAACAAACCTCAGCACCCCTTGGGGGAAACTGAGACCTTCTCCTTCAGCACTCCGGGCTCTTACGTAACTTTCCCCATCCTCTGCTTCCTTTTCCCCATCCTTCTCGAAGGAAATGCAAAACCCCACAGCTGCATTGGGAATGTGATGAAGTCTAGCGAGCAGAGCTGCTGATTTTGACTCCAAGAGCTGCAGGGGCTTCGGGGCGCAGCCCTGGTCTGCACCCATCAGACTCCTGTGGCTGAGACTCATTCAACACCTTCTAGTCACGCTTTGCTGCAAGTTATTTCAGCAAGGCCAAGGTGGTAACAGGCCATAGCTAGTGCAATCTCCTTAAGGAGGTGGCCTTTTCAAGCTACTGCATATTGGGTTTTAGTCACTTTAGGTATCTTGGGTGTCTTTGGAGAAGATTTAATGAGGAAGGACACTAGATTGTTCATTACTTACCTGCTTCCAACAGTCTCCCACACTGGCTGGACGGGATACAACAGCAGTTCAGGATTTAACACTGCTTCTCAGCCACAATGAGCTCCTACCTTTAGCCGCTGTTCTGCCTTTCCACCCTATGATGTGTGGGTAGGAAGGGGAGATTTTTCATTCCGGAAAACTCTTCCAGCTGTAGCCCTTAAACAGAAGGAAATGAATAAATGTACATCTGGAATGGGATTTCTAGTACATCATGGCTAGCTAATTACAGTTGTTTCCATTAGATAGACTTGTTAAAGCATCGTAACTATTGCTTTAATTCATACTTCCTTTTTAAGGGAGACTGAGACCCTCTGTTTGAAAGATAGCTCTGAGAAAAGAGCACAGAACACCTGCAGGTTTTCATGCACAGAGCAGCATCTCTATCTTTTAACACAATCCCTCGGCACTTTTAAGCTATCAGGTCTTATGTTGTTGATTCTATTGCTTGGCTGTTACTTGTTAGACAGTTACTGCAGCTTTTTTGTGGTTCCACTTTTCATGTATCTCCTCATAAATGAGTGAAGAGGCCTAAATAGGGCAGGATTTAAGTGGCAAGCTGGCCTTTATAATTCACGCATCTGTGATATGTATCTTCTGGAGAAGGCCTGGACAGGAAAAACAACTCTCAAAGACAGCAGTAACTAGAAAGAGGCTGCATGGTATTTTATCTTTTGCAGGCCGGCATTGCGTTTCTGTGACGTGCTGAAAAGTGGCCTTTCTTAAGACAGTTTCTCTCAGTATTAACATCTGTGTTCATTAACTAGCAAGGCTGCTTTGGGTGAAGATTCAAATGGAAACAGCAAAAATCCACAGATGCTCTGAACACCCGAAAAGGCCAATTTTCAGTTGCTTCCATCTCTACAAGCCCTGTTCCCTCAGTCCAGCACAGAGCCTAGTCAGGTATGAGCCTGTGGTGCTGCTATGCCCGATTTGAGACACCGTCAAGAAAGAAACCACCACAATCAGAACACGCTGATGAAGGGTGATGCTGGCCTCTGCAACAGGATCGTATTTACAGGGCACTAATGCGGGAGCGACACGGAGCTGGCAGCTCACCTCAGCGGTGACTGCCCCACGCTCAGCCCCACGCCGGGCGGGCGCTGCCCACGCGTGTGGGGCCCGGGCAGGCGCGTGGCCTCGCGGCGGCCTCGGGAGCACCGGCCTCCGGGCACGAGCGACATGCCGGCCCTTCCGCCTCTGCGGCCGCTGCGGGAAGGCAGGCGCGAGCAGGCCCGGCCGCTCTAACCTGCCTCCTCCCTACCCATACAGCCTACTGCAGAGCACACCACACAGAACACGGCCAGGCTGCTCTATTTATTTCTCTTCCTCCCCGTTTTTTCTGGCCTCCACCCTCGGGGCGGTTAAAAAGCAACGCTGCAGCGCCTGGGTCGCCATAAGGCGCCTTTCCAGCGGGCTGTGCCGGTTCTGGAGAGCAGCGCCTCCGTCGCCTTCCCCAGGGGCTCGCGCCTCGAGCAAGGCAGGGCGCGCGGCGGTAACGATGAGGAAGGAAGGAAGGAAGTTTGCTCAGCACACGCCGAGGGCAGCGCAGGGGAGGAGACCAGGGCAGAGCAGGGCAGCGAGGCGGCCGGGGCGCTTCCCAGCCGCGCTCGCTCCAGGAACCGCCTCTCTGCCTTGGCGGGGCCGCCTCCCCGCTTCCTCCCGCGCCGCCCTTTCCCTTTCGCTTTCCCGCAGCCCGGGCGGCGGGAGCGCGGCTATGGACAACGGCGGCGTCTACAACGCGACCACGGAGCCGCAGCGCAAGGCGCCGCGCGGCCGCTGCGCCTGCACCCTGCGCCACCTGCGCGGCTGGCCGCAGCGCGCCGCCAAGGCGCTCCAGGCGGTGAGCGCGCTCCCCACGCGCGACCCCTGCCCTTCCCTTCCCTCCCTTTCCCTTCCCTTCCGTGTCCTGCCCTCCCGCCCCGCGGCGGCCGTTGGCGCCGGCGGAGCCCCTGGCGGCGGGGCGGGAAGCCCCGCGCGCAGTAACGGCCCGCGGGCCAGGGCGGGTGCCGCGGCCTCCTGCTGCTCCCTGGGGACTCCGCGCTGTCCCGTCCCTGGGCGCTCCCGTTGGCCGTTCCGGGCCGGGAGCGAGCCCCGGGTCGCGGCGCGCGGGAACGGGGGTGCCCAGCGTCCCGCGGGGTTGCGGATCGGGACGTGTGAGGAGCCGGGTCCTGAATAGCGCCACGGGAGGTTGTGGAGCCCACGCAAACGGGCGCGCGTCACTTGTACATTTTCCAGCCAGCAAAGCAGCTTTTTCAGTCAGATGTCTCGTGCTTGTAGGGATCGTAGGTGGTTTCCAACCCCTCAACCCCTTCTTGTTGCTGAAAAAAAAAAAAAAAAGGTTTTTTTTTTCTGAGCTTCGTTTTGTGCACAGTCCAAAACTTCAACCAAAAACCTCAGAACTAAGTGCTGGTAAAGGCAACACTGATAAGGCCAAGAATAATATTTTTTAAAAAGGTTTAAAACATCACACCCAAGAATGCTTCAGACAAATATAGGGCCTCTTGCTTTTTCTACTACAGATTGTTAAAATAAGATCTGTATTGCTCCCAAATATTTCATCTATGTAAGTAGTTTCACTGTCTAAAATACACCATTGCATAGGCCAATATACTGATACACTGACATTTTTGATTGCTTACCCTAACAGAAGCCTTGGTATGTCCAGTAAGAGAAAGGCTGCTGTTTTAGGAAAGATCTTTTTTATTATTATTATTTTTGAATTCTCAGTTATTATTTGAATTCTCAGAGCTGTTACCATGTCTGGTAGTTAAAATGCTGCCTTGGGATTAAAATAGTAATTATTGGCTATTATTAGGACTGCACACTAATAATCACTTCAGATACTCATGCTAAACAGGCTGTTGCACTCAGAAAATCATTAGAGTCCTCATTATAGAGGTGATCAAATATATGCTAAAATACTTTGAAAACAACTGTTTCCAGACCTTAGAAATGCCTTTTTTTTTCTTCCTATTGATTAGTAATTGTACGTACTGTAATATTTCCTGTCTTTTCAAAACTTCTTGGGAATTGCTCTTTTAGCAGGAGTTAAAATGATGCTTTTCTTTTGTGGTAGGACGAGAGAGTGATCCCCTGTGCCACAGGGGAAACGGAACATGAGGGCACACAGCTGCAATCAAATATGCTGAAATTAGGAAAAACTCGTCACTTAAAAATTGGAAATTTGGCGTTGAAAATAATCCTTGGGCCTCCATCGTAGTGGCTGAACTAGGTGTGAGGGCTCCTGACAAGTGCAGCTGTGTGAGAAAAGGGAAGTGTGCGGAGACCTGCCCCTAACACCTCAGTTTCTCAGCCCGTGTGTCCCTTCCCCTCCGGGGCTCCCGCCTACTTCTCTATGGTTCCCCGTTCAAAACATGGTGTTTCGAATCTATATGGTTCCCCGTTCAAAACACGGTGTTTCGAAGGGCCCTTCTGAGGGTTGGCTTAGTGGGGGAGGTTGCAGTGCTAATTTGCTTGTTTGCATTGCCAGAAAAGTGAAACCAGAGGCTGGCCATTTCCAAGAGCGAGACCCAGATAGGGCCCCTGCAGTGCCTTCTATGAGCCAGTAACTGGAAAATGGCTATTTTGAGTTCTAGAGTTTGATAGTTTTTAAGGCTTTTATTATTTTTTTTAATTGTGTATGTAAGCTCATTAAAAATGGGACCATCATCCTTATGTCATTCTCGATTTTACGACCAAATCTGATTCCCACTAACTTTGTTTAGTATTATTTTAATTTGGTGAACTCTTTACTGCAAGGATCTATAGGAAGAAGAAAGGAGGCAAAGTGGCCAAGATGAGAGGACATTTGATTAAAGCAGGGCCACAAAGCAGCAGAAGAAACATCAGCAGACCCGTAGCACTTAGGAATTCCCTGGCATCTTCACAAGATACTGCCGCCAGAAGGGGAGCAGAAGCTTCCGTGTAGATCAAAGCTGTGTAAATGTAAAACCTCCTTCTGCCTGGTTCCTAGAAATGCAGCCGAGCAGCTTCTGGTAGTGAGTCATAAGCACCCGGCCACTGGCCCTATCTGCTTTCTGTGAAGCTCTGCAAGGCGGGTGACAGCAGCAGCAGCTCTTAGGGTGGTAGACTGGATTGGTATCTTAAGGGATTGCGAGTGGTGGGCTTCTTTTTATGATTAAGTCAAGGTTGAAAGCAAGTGTAGAATAGCAGCGAACAGTGCAGGGCTCTTCACAGATGGAGGGTTTTCCTTGCAGCCGCCTTCTCTGCTGTTAATACCAGGGATGTCTCCTTGTGCAGGCACTGCAGACTGGCTCTAACTCGGTCCCTTTTCCATGTGCAGCTCTTCTCCCTGCTGGCGGTGATTTGTGAGGAGGCCGTGGCGAGCTGCCTCCGCTGCGGCGGCCTCTACGTCTTCGAGTTCACGAGCTGCAGCGCGCTGCTGCTCAGCCTGCTCGCCCTCTGCCTCCACTGCACCGCGGCCTACGAGGCGCTCGGCGGCCACAACGTGCGCAGGCTGGTAAGGAAGGGAGAGGCAGAAAGCTTTTCTAGGCAGAAAAACGAGCTTCTGTAAAGCAAACTGATTAAGTAGGTGCATAAGGACTATTGCAGAATGAAAAGACCCTGCAGAAAGAATGTATTTTCTTTAGCGTTTAAAGGGTAAGTGGAGGGTCTTTATAGTTATTTGCTAACTATCACGTAAACTCCATGTTGTACCTATTTAATATATATCACAATAATACAATAAATAACAGCCCTCTCAATTTTAAGGGTCCATTTTATATTAGAAACTTTCAAATTGGTCATGTTGGTTGCTGAGAGATAGGATGCCTTCAAGTTGGGCCTTTGAGTCAGGAAACCAACTGGTCTCCACTGGAAACAGCAGACAGTTTTTCCCTGCTAGGGGATGCGTTTCCTTGGGCATGGTTAAGGTTCATACAGCCTCTTCAGAGCAGCCTGCTGCACTGCACAGACCACAGCATTTTACAGTTTAATTGTGGTGGCTGCCCTCCTGGGACTGAGCCTTTTCTGCAATAAGTTGTTTTCTTTGCTGTGACAAATTTCATACAACCTCATGTTATGAAAGAGCCTTTTTCCCCCTTCTCCATGACAAAAGAAACAAAAGGGGGCTAATTTTAAAAATACTCTTTTTGTTTTCTTCCTATCCCAGGAAGAGGATTTTTTCCTTCCTTTCCAAGATTGTACTGGGGGAAGGGTGGGAGCAGAGGGAGAACCACAGTTCATGTTTCGTTAAAATGTGAGGAAATATTTCTTTTATGTCGGTGGAAACAGATTATTTCATTTAAAAAAGACAAACTATTGCTACAAATGCCTAACGGAATTCTGGTGAGCTGGTCTGACATTTAATTTTTCACGACGAGCCATAATATTTATATTGTGGAGTCAATTTTGATATTAATGTTTTAATCCCTGATGTTGTTGATGCGGGCAGAGATATATGAGAAACACACATCCATTTCTACGTTCCCTGCCCATAAAGGCAGAGGAGCTAAGAGCCCATCACGTTCAGTGCTTTGGAAACTTTCTGTGTGACTCTCTGGCTCAGGATCTGCAGTGTAGCTAGTAGGATTATTCATATCCATTTTTCTAGAGTATTTTTGACTCCTTTGGTATTTTTCATTACCACTGTGCTCTGTGGCAGTGAATGCACAGAGTGGAACTGGCATTTGCCTGCCCTGCGATGGCTTCAGGAGAGACTTTGTTACAGAGTGAGACAGCGATTTTTTTCTTCCGTCTCCGGTTTTCCAAGGCCCGGTTGATTTTACAGCTACTTTACTACATATATTATACATATACATGTATACTTACAGCTACTTGATTTTACAGTTACTTCAAGTTGAAGCATCACAGTAATTTCATACAAAAACTGTGTTGTATACGTGTGCTCCTCTGTGGCTTTTCTGCAAACTGGCCTTTCCTTCATTTTTAACGTAACTAGACAATGCAAATCTTCACTTGTGCTTTCTCTGTAAGTGCTTTACAAGATCTCTGTCTTGCTCTTCAAGTCTCTATATTAGTGAGCTGGTGCTAACTAGACCACTGTGATCTTGCTGGTATGAATCAAACCTCTTATCTCCTACTGTGTGCAAGGTTTTAGGACTTGGGTGAAAGACTTTAGCACAAACTAACACTGCTCTTAATCACCATTTTATAAATATAATTCATATAATCATATAAAAATGTGTGTGTGTATGCATATATTCACACACAAGTCTATACACCCCTATTTACAAAAGCAAGCAAGCACGTAAGAGCCTCCTTCCATCAAAAAGGGCAGAAAAAGGGGCACATATAATAATAGACTCCTTCACATGGTTGATATGTTGAGTGTTGTTTGGTATGTAAGTAGATGCTAACAGCAGCTTCTGATTCATTTATTTATTGATTGATTTAAACAAAGTTTCCAAGAGGGAATTCCCTGGCAGATTAACGTGGCTGCTGTTATGATGTTTGTTCTTTTCAGGTAGTATAGTATAATTCACTGACATCTTATCCTTGCAGAATTTTTATGCTATGCCAAGCATAGGTGCCGTGTTCCTGTTAGCTTCGGTAGTGCTTGCTGCAACCAGCTCTGGATCTCATTTAGAAAAAGCTGCATGTGTAAGTACAACAACAATTGTATCGTGTACTGTGTTTTTATCTTGTTTCTTAAATCTCCCATTTACCTTTGCAGACAAGAAACAAGGCAGGGCCCAAAATCCAGTGTGTAGCCTGTGCTGGGCTGTTTCGGGAGCAATTAGCTCCGAGTTCCAGGGGTTTCAGATCTCCTGGAAACTTCCCTGAGGACATGCAAAGAGCTGGTGCCCCTCCGTGGGGCTGGGAAGCCCAGCGTGCTGCGAGAGCGGCTCCGCTTGCGTCTTCCAGAGCAGGCTGAGCGGCTCGGGGCAGGGAAAGGCACAATTCCTCCCTTTTGTGGCCGTTCTTAAACAGCCTTGGAATTGTGAATGTATCAGTTTGAAGCCTGACGTTATTCTTGAATGAAAAAGGATGTTTATTTTTTTATTCCTGGAACTGGAGCTGATTCCATACTTCTTTATTACTTAAAAAAAAAAAAATTCAAACTGAACTAATATTTCTAACATTAGTGGCTGGTCAGGCTATATTGTAAGATTTATACCTGACTCAAAGAATGAGAACTGTAAAAACTCTTGCATAAATGCACTACAGTTAAGATTTCTGACCCGTTCCTTACTTGCACGGAACCACCAATTTAAGGAAACTTAATGGAAACTTCGAGGCCATGTCGATACCGACATGGGAATACCTGGGAGTTATTAACTTACTTATAATACCTGGGAGTTATTAACTTACACAGAAGCGTTCAAATGCCATTGATGTTTACAGATTTTACATCATGTGTTTCTTTGGCTTTCGCAGGCATTTGGGTTTTTTGCAAGTACTGCTTTTTTAGCAGAAGGGATTATGAATTATTTGGATAAACGGAAAGAAGCCACTGAAAGTCGTTCGGAAAACCCTGTCCGCGTTCAGACCGCCACAGAGAATCAGCCACTGAATAAGTAAAGCTAAGCCTGGCAGGTTGTTTTCTAACTGAGCAAACTAAAAGTTTCCATGCACTGTAAATAACTTACTCCATGCATTGTAAATAACTTATTCTCTCTTTTCCTACTAATCAGTTCTGTAAGCGTTGCTCGTCACAAGTTTTGGTAGATCCTTCAGTCTAGCAGTGGTGTCTGGGCATCATGTGCTATATAATTCCAGAGGTAACTGATCCTGCTTAATAACTGCCTAAGTGTATCTGCCAGGGATATGCCCTGGCATATACTAAAAAAATTGTGCCTAGTTTGAATAATTTCAGGGCAATAGAGTGTGCTGATCTGACTCTCAGTACGGATGATTATTAAAAGATAATTTATGGTGTATAAATTCAGGGTTATGTTCTAAAGAGATTTTCTACATAAATGGACTAGATACTTCTGTTACTAATCACAAACTGTATTTTTTTTACACACTGATCAAACTGTGAATGGAAAAAGGGACAGCTAGTTGCAGCCTCACAAGAAATCCTGATCCTTCCATTAGGGTTTTCATTTTGCTTTTACTACTCGGCACAGTTCTGTCCATGGAGCTCAGTTTAATGAAACGGGTTTTTACGGGACAGTTCTGTCCATGGAGCTCAGTTTAATGAAACGGGTTTTTACAGGCAATAGTTTAATCCTATATTAGAGAGACAGCTCTGCATCCCACGGTTGCCGATGTTTAACACTGGATGCCAGAATCTCCTTCCCTATTGTTTCAAAGGCAAGAAAAGCTGCAAGGAAAAGGTTGGAGGACAAATACTTGCAAGAATTAACCTAAAAAAGTAGCAGCTGGGAATACCATGGGACAAATATACCAGCATTTCAGCACTGCCAGCCCAACATCATGCTGGGGGTGCAGGCCAACAAGGAGCTCTGCCAGAGGTCTCCCGAATTCCAGCATGCATTTTGCCTATGGATATGCTGCTGGTTTGAGCCTTTCTGCTCCTGGCTGGCACCGCTGGGGAGCCGATGGGTAACACGCGATTCCGAGAGTCACAGGGAGTCCTGTGTCCCTGCCCTGTCGGCAAAGCAGCAGGATGAGAGAGACGCGAGGGGCCGAGCAAGCAATGGGCTCAGAGCAGGAGGTCATGGCCAAAGGAGAGGCGGCCAAGAGACCTTTCGTCCAGGTGTCCCAGGGAGAAAGGAACCCGCTTGGAGGACGGCGGAGCAGAGGCTGTTCCGACAGCCAGCACAAATGAGCAAAGTGTGCTGAAGCAGAACCGGATCTTGCCCGACTTCCCGTGACGTTTGCCCTGTCTTCTTGGCTCCAGTTCTGCAGGGCCCTAATGTGAGAGATTCCCAGAACTGGGAATCGTGTAAGCTGAGGTGGCATCACGGCGACTAAGCCCCGCCAAAGGTTGCCGAGCATTGCTGTCCTTGGAATGGGAGGAGGAAGCTGAGACAAAGCTCCGTGCAGGAGCGTCGGAGTCGCTCCGGTGGCGCCGCGCTCCCGTGAACGTGACGCCACTTGTTGGTGACGTTTTCTCTTTGTGCTCCCAGACCTTAATCCCAACACTACGCTTTGCTGGGGATCTGAGGCATCAGGTGGAAGCTGCAGCTTGGGTTCAGAGCCATCTATAAAATACTTGCTTTCCTTCAGGGAGCTTCCTGCTTTGCGAAGAAGAAACCTCCTCTTTGGACTGTTGTGTTCTATTTATTTGTGTCCGTTTGTATTAAAACTTGATGTTGATGGCCGTAACTTTCTCTCAAAACTAGGTAGATAGAGATATGTTTTGTTTACAAGCAACGTTGCTGGTGATGTGAACTATCCAAAAGGAAAAGCCTCTGTCATAGCTGTAGCTTCTTCCTTTTGGGTGCGTGTCCGTATCTGGGATTAACATTCTCAGATTTCTTTCTTTCTTTCCCACTTATATCCCAGGATACTACTGGATTTGTATTTGTATCAAAATGGCCGTAGCCTCTAAGGCTTGATACATAATTAAACTATAGGTATTACGTAACAATAAGACTGTGCTGCTGCTATTTATTAAGCCATGCAGCACGAAGGCAGGGCTTTACCCTCAGTTAACTTTGCCTTCACACTTTAACCTTTCTCATCTTGAAAGCACATGGCGAGCTGTGGTTCTCTGCTGTTTCCCTGTAGGTTTTCACCCTGCCCAAGTGCTGTTTCCTCCCTAAATGATGGGTGTTGCGGGGGACCTGTCCCGTCCCATCCCCTCAGTGAGTGGCAGGCCCTGCTGATGCTGCGCTGTGCCGAGGGCGCCGTGTAGCACAGGTTGCAGCACTGCGCTGGTGCCGAGGGCATCCTCGGCCCCCGTTGGACTGCTCCTTAGCCCCAGTTTCTGCATGTGCTGCCCACTGCGGCTGTAGCTGTCCCAAGCGGCCGTTCCTGGCCGCTCTGCTGCTCCGCATACCCCTGCCCCGAGGAAGGCCCCGATCCAGGCTCTGGAGGTCCCTGCTCTTGGTCACACCGACACTGGAGGGTGCGGCGGGAGCTGCACGAAGGGTCTGGATCTGCAGCTCTGTGCCTGTGACTGGGTGTCCCGTGTTCCTCCCGGGCTGTCAGCAGAGGCTCCCCAGCCTGCAGGAGCTGGGGCTGCTGTGATCAAAGGCGCTGTTGCCCGTGCTGAAGCGACCTGCGCTGGGCTGCACAGAGGCAGCTCGGGGCCACACCAGGGGGATGAGCAACCTGCTCCCCATCTCCCCTTTGCTTGCAGGTGAGCACCGTGCGCCACGTGGAGCACGAGTGAAGCCTGTGGCCAGGCTGCCAACTTCCCTGTGCATCCTGGAGGCAGCTCCGTGTCCTCCCCTTGGCCCACATTACTGTTACAATCCTCATCTTTATCCTTCGGGCTCAAATGCATGAAGGGATCGTGCTATCAGTCTGCTCTTGAAAACCGCAGGGGAGGGTTGACGTCTGTTACAATTCAGTCCTACTCCTACCCCCTCCACCTCAAAACTGCAGGGATTTTTATCCCGCGCAATTCCCAGAGCCTTGCACAAGGTGGTTATGCACCACAGCCAGCCTGGCAATCCCAGCCCGGTTCCAATGGGTGCAATAAAAATAACACGCCTTTTACAATGAAAGGGAATATGTAGTGTGATATTTGAAAGGTTGTGTAATATTGTGAAAACAAATCCAGATGCTGTAAGTGCCTTTATGATGGAAATTTATCTTTGTTTTAGCTCATTGCTGTAAGTGTATCGCGGATCTCTAGGTAGTAGTGAGCAGCATGAAGTTTAATGCTGCTTTACCTGTGAGATTTCTAAGTGACTTTTATTGATTACTGAATGAGATGGCTAATACAATGGTGATGTATTGTAAAATTTTTATGTAGTCCTGTAGCCAGTGTTGCCTCGACTTTTCAGTAAAAGCATTCCAAAATGCTTAAATATTTTTCCATTCTAAACCTGTGGTCTTTTTAATGTTTAATGATGCTTTTCTGGTCTTAGGAACTTTCTAAAATATTTTGTAATCATTTTTAAAAAATAAAATATTAGTAAGTACCTCAAGAGTGTTTCTTACTCCTGCTGCTACTGATCTGTTCTCACGAAGCAGCTGTCCCGGAGCAAAGCGCAGGAAATAACCTCTCTCCGTGTTCCTGGCGTGCAGGAAGGAGCCCGCATTGTCCTCGGCCTCTTGCAGGGCACTGGGCTCCGACTGGGAGCCCTGCACAGCTGGAAGTTTCCATGAGGAAAGGTCCAGGCAGGTCAGTATTGCTGCATACCACGGGGTTCAGTCCGTAACAGGCTTTGTGGCTACTGTGGTCACGACTGTGACAAGGGTCATTCACGTGCTGCTTTCCTACTCTCTGGGCTACTGGAATTGAAAAAGCAAGATAGATAAAATGCCAGACTGAAAAATGAGATAAATAAAGCGCCAGAGGAAGCGCCTTCCTTGTTAGAGGAAGGAGCATGAACTAGAAGACAGTGTCAAGAGGAAATAATTTCATCTGGAGTTGAAAAATACTGACAATCAAGTTACTCGGTTGAGGGGAAGCCACTGGATCCTTTAAAAATCTTTGTTCACCAGGGTGGGAGGAAGGAAAATAAACCCACGTGCTCTCTGCCGGGTCGCCTCTTTGCTGAATAATCCTGCAAGTTGCGTGTTGCTTGCTGGTTGGACCTCCTTGGTCCCATGTGTAACAGTTTGTGGGGCAGAAAAGAAAGGCACTTCTTCATTTTCTGCACAAAAAACTGGAATGACACTGGAAAACTGGAATGTTGTTATAACAACATTGAAGGTGAAATTCTCTCTTTCCACTTATCTCTGGCAACTTCATGGAACTTTAAGGATTGATGAGGAAAAAAACACACCTCTAGTGTTTTAAGGTACAGTAATAGAAGGGTGTGTTTGTGGTGGATTTACAGAGCATGTGAGAAGGGGGGACCGCGAGCAGCCTGGGGCGCGCGAGGCCAGCCCAGCTCCGGTCCTGCTACTGCTGGCAGGCTGGCACCTCGGCAGGGCCATCCATGGAGCGGCCGTCCCCGCCGGGGCCCGGGAGCTCTGCCCACGGGAGGGCAGGGAGGACCCTGCCACAGGACAGGGCCTCCCGCTTGGGGCCGAGCAGAGGCGGGAGCAGCAGCCCCGTCTCCGCTGTGCTGGGCTGCGTGACCCGCATCGCCAGCACCTGCGCCACCACCTCAGGGCGACAGCCAGCGCGTCCCCAGCACTCACTCCCTCTGGTTCTTGTGACCTCTTATCTCTTGGCCGAGTGTCCGCACAGGGCTGGGCAGATAAGCGGCCGTGGCTGCCTGGAAGTGGGCAAGCACTGGGGTGACGGCCGAGGCCTCCAAGGAGGTGCCAGCAGCAGCACTTGTGGGCACTGCGGCTCCCGTGTGGCCTGGCGAGGGCAGCATGGAGCGAGCGCGGCTCCCAGCGAAGGCAGCACGGAGCGAATGTGGCTGCTTGTGAGGGCAGCACGGCCTCGGAGCGAGTGCCCACCAGGCCTTGGCCTCTGCTAGGCCTCAGTTCCCCTTTGCAGCCCTGCGGTCTGGCGAAATGCGGCTCGGCCGCCGCGCTGCAGCCCCCATCCTCGTCCTCCTCCTCTTCTTCCTCCTCCTCACTGCCTCCCTGCACCAGCCGCTGCTCTTCCCAGCGCTCTGTCCCCCCGTACGCAGCCCAGTGAGCGGATGGAGCTGCCCCCGGCCCAGAGCAACGGGCCAGCCCGGGAAGCAGAGCCGGGCCTCGCCGCTTCTGCTCGTGGGGCCAGCACGACACCCATTCTCACACTCCTGTGCCCCTTTGCTCTATTTCAGAGGCTGCGTGCCCTGTTGATGCTCGTGTTGTTGAGGTTCTGCTTCCCACTCCCATCCCTCTAATCCGTGTTAAACTTTGCCACTGGTGGTGGTTCTCAAAACAGCCAGGACTGAGTGGTCTATCCGAGCGGGCACAACACCACACCAAAAAACAACTGTCCTGTTAATGCAAGTCTGGTTGTTTTCTGCCCCTTGCCAAGAAGGGTTTACTTTTATGAATGAGTGAAACGCTGTTCTTGACTTGATGTGGGCTTTTAAACACAAACTTTTGTTTCTGGCAACTGTGCATCTCCGCTGAGGGTAACAAGGACCCAAACAGCCCATTCTCAAGCGCCCCAAGCTGCTGAGCGGGAGCCGTCAATGGAGCCCTTTGCTGTAGAGCCACAGCTGCAGCACCGTGCCCGTCTTCGGCCAGGTTTCATGAACAAGGGGCTCGTTAAGGTTTATGTCAGGCGTGATTTAGTGACACAGACGCGAGGGCAGCCTGTGTGGGACGGACAATGCCCGGGGCTCCGGCAGCAGCAGAGGGCTCCACGCTGCTCACCGGCCCCTCGTGCAGAGCAGCAGCACTGGGGATGCAGGTGACGGGCTGGGCGTTCACACTCATCCCGTGCAAATCTCCCTCAAGACATTTGCTGATTTTCTCCCCAAAGGAACAGTGTTTGCTCCGTGTAAAGCCACACACAGGATGAATGCCGGCTCCGGTGTCCCCGGTCTGCCCTTGTGTGCCTGAGAGCGAGGTGCCTCCAAGTCTGCATTGCTATTTTGTTTTCCCAGGATTTCCAGGGCCCTGCCATAATCCCTCCCATGCCCAAGAGGTCTGCTGGAGCTCTTCCTGCACAAACGCAACCATGTGAGGAAAAAGCAGGCGTTTCACACACACATAACTTAGAAAGGACTCTGTGTGAGCAGTGCTTTCTCCTGCAGGGAGCAACGTCCCGCCAGCCTGTTCCCAACTTGGCCTGCCATGTCATCCTCAGAGCAGCCTCGCTCCAAACAACACGGTGCTCTCGCTGTCTGCCTGGGAGCCCCACACTCGGCCACAGAAACCCGCAGGTGCTTCCTGCAGCGCTGCCCTGGGCTGTGCACGCAGCGGCACGTTGGCTCCCCTCTCTACTTGTGCGCGGCTCCTCCTCCCCGGGTGTCCCATGGCACCTGCAGCGCCGCGCGCCACTTTGCTGCTGCTGCTGCAGGCTGCGGTTTATCCATCTCCAGCGGTTGCCGCTGGTGCTCTGGGGCTGCAGGTGCCCAAAGGGCAGCGTAAGGGATCGACAGCCCATGTTTGCATGCGGGCTGCTGCCACACTGAGCTTTTTATCAAAAATGAACTGTGGCGAGGTAGTTCTAGGGCTAGAGCAGCTTAACTTGGATCAAGCCAGGATGTACACACACACAAAAAGCACATTTAGATTGAAATTATCTTATCTACTGTCTTGCTCTTCTGCCTCCAAGGCTCTGCCCTTCAAGGCTGGCCATGGCACAGTGCTGGACTGCAGGGAGCGGGCAGCCTGGGAGCAGGTTTGCCCTTGCCTGGCAAGAAGCCACTCCCAGGAAGGCTCCTCTTGGGCTCCCTTCTGCAAAGCCGAGCTCAGCAACTCGCAGTGAGTGAGAGAGTGGGCACTGCACAGAGGCAGCCAGTGCTGCGTGGAGGCGCTGCGAGCGCAGCAGTGCTGCTAAGAGCACCGCTCCTGCCTTGGGGCGCCCTGCGCGCTGCTCTGTGGGGCTCTGTGCCACCCACCACCCCTTCTGCACTGCCCTGCCGCGCTGCCGGCCAGGGCCTCCTTGCTCGCTGCCCTGGCCAGTGCTCACAGCAGCCTCGCAGTGTGAGCGCCGCAGCGGTTCCGCGCTGCTCCTCACAATGCGGCTTTGGTTCCCCAGCACCCGCTTCCTAAACTGCAGCTTCCACAGTGTTACGTCAGAACAGTGCCAGAGATTGGGTAGCTACATCTTGTGGGTATGTGAAACTGAAAATCTCATCTTTAAAAGAAAAAAAAAAAAAAAACCCACACCTTTCAAATTTCCTACCTGCTGGAGACACACCAGGCTGCTTCAGTTTCCCCCTTAGAGCGGCTCCGGCAAGATGCGATCCGTGGACAGCCCTTTGCCAGCAGCTCCAGGCGGAGGGGCTGTTCCCGGCAGCTGCCGAGCGCTCCTCCGACAGCTCTGTAAATCAGGAGGTCATTGCCCTGGTAAAGCAGCACAGATCAGAGGTGATAGCCCACAGGAGGGTAAAGCGGTTTCCTCGGGTGCTTGTAAGGACGGGTTTGTGTGAGTACGCCAAGGCCCCGGACAGTGGGGCAGGCTCGTTGTGCCCCAGTAGTGACGGAGGGTGCCCATTAACATGACGGCCAGGGGCACTACCCTGGGCTGCTAGCCAAGGCTCAAACAAGGTTCAACATGTGGCAAGAAGAGATGCTCCCATGTCAAAGGTCTTGCATCCTCCCTCAGCTTTAGCATGACACAAAAATCTGAAGAGACTATGAAATAAAAGCAGATTCATATATACTTTTTTTTTCACCTCAAGCACTCCTCGTCTCCTGAAGTCCTGCCACAGCCACGAACTGTTGACACTTGACAGCATGTGCGTTGGCAAGTGAGGGGCTCGCATTAGTCCCTATGCCCCTCCACCCACACACAGCAATTTGTTCCCTAAGCCTTTTTAGCGGGGAAGAACCCACTCCTTTGTATTTCATATAGTGCAAAACAGCCATTTCAGACCAGTGGAAGAGATGTTACAGAGCCTGCAGTGTCTTTATCCAGCACTGTGGTCCTCAAGCCTTGCAGAGCCGTCCTTCCTCTTTTCTGTAACAGTTTCATTTCCCTTTCTCACCTTCTACCTGCACAGAACTGTTACCCGCTCTCTGCCTCCTCTCAAATCCCCATAGATCAAACATCAGTTCTTTGTGCAGTATGAAACTACCCCTTTTCCTCCCTCAGAATTTGTATTTTAGGTTTCAGCAAAAACTGAACCCCAAACCCCATCTGTGTTGGCTTAAAGAAAATGTTACACCTACCTCAGAGGATGGACAACTTTTGGATGCTGTAGTCAGATACCAGCACATCCACATACAATATGGGGAGGGGGAACACACATGGAAAACCACTGTTTTAGTAAGAAGGAGTAAAAAGTAGAAAAATGAACAAGAGAGCAATCTTATTCTCACAGCCGTTACATCATCCCAATAGCAAACATAGTTTATTTTTAAGAAACACCTGGAATTCCACATTCGACAAAGTCCCAGACAGACGGAGCTTTCAGAACGAGGCCGACCCTAAAGAAAACCCAGAACACTTCTGCAGGCAGCCCTGCCTGAGCGAGGTGCTGCAGTGCCTGACAGACAGAGCTGCCATTCAGACACCCTCGGTAAAGCTGGTGAGAGCAGCAAAACTGTGCTTTTCCTGGCACGCATGTTTCACAGGGAGGATATGGGGGAAGTCAGGAACCTATGCCAGCAGAAATGTCACTTTTCCAGCCTGAAAACATCCTGCAATAAGAGCATCTGGCGGGTCTCTGGACCCAGTTCTGATGTAAGGGCTGCAGACATGCCTTAGACCCCTGTCTTTGGCACAAAACAGAGAGGACACTGCCACTTACTTCTCTTGATCCACTATTTACAAGAGCACTTCCAGCAAAGCAGATTACTTGGGTATAACAGAGCATCATCCGGGAATTCTTTGGCTGCTGGACGGCATGAAATTCCCCTAATGTTCCTTTCTCAGAGTGGGAGGTTGCAAAAGCGCTGGCAGAGGGAGCACGATGCAGGCACGGGGCGGGAACGGCGGGCAGCATTTGGCCTCCAGCTGCAGCCTCAGCAGATGCTTCTCCCCACAGAGAGCCCATGTCGGCAGCACGCGAGCAGTGCGCAGCAAAACACTCGCTTCTGCACGTGGTTGGCAAGAGCAGGGAAAGCACCTAACACCTACGTGAGCACTTCCCTCCAGAGGCAAAGGAGACACCAAGAGAAACGTAGCGTTGCTGCTTCCTCTGGGGGAAGGGAAGAGTTGAAGGGAAGAGGAGAGGTTGTATCCCTACCCATCTACCATGCCCATCCAGTTTTCTACAGCATGGTCATTAAATTGCTGACCAGTACCGATGCATGGCTTCAGACAAATAGAAAAAGGCCAGAAAATGTAGCTCAGGGGACCTGTGTAAATCCCACTATTCTCCCAGAAACCTGCTGCACTGTTATGGCCGGGTGGAATAGGCTGACAGTACTGAAAGTCCCACTTTAGATGCTAAAGGGAACATCAGTCTCCAAAAAGAGTAATTTCTAGGAATGCACAGAATTTTTCTACTGAACAGGTCCTGCAAACATCCATTTTACCAATGAGCATTTGTGATAAAGATCCCACAAGCCACTACATAAATATTATTGGATACACATTTTGGCACAGAGAAGTTTAAGAAGAACCTTTGATTGTTAATAAATGATAAAAAATTGTGAAGAAAATATTGGTTTCATAATATCCTGTTTGGCTAGAAAGGAGCATTTGCAGTGATTTATCCAAGTTGCAGTTCACAATTGTCATTGCTGGCTAAATTGATGTTAAAAATAATCCATGGTTATGATATGAAGAGGTAACAAAAACTTGGGTTTCTGAAGGCACAAACTGGTTTGTCACAGTTCCTTTGCTAAAGGAAACATCTTTGGAAGTTAAGAACCAGACAGGAATTGCAAGATTTCCCTTCTGTAAACAGATGGGGAAAATCAGAAGTGCTTTCTCCATCCCTCTGGAAGGAGAACTGACCAGCTCTCCGAAAGTGTTTTAATTGCACTTATTGCAAATAGCTGGATATGATCCCACTGCAGCTTGCAAGACAGAAGTCATTCTTCTTTAGTAAGCTCAGAAAAAGCAGGTTCTCCATTATGAACTTTTTGGGGGGTAAAGGGAAGGCAAAAAACCTTTGGTTCCCAACAGTGTTTTGCATAGGTGTTCAAGTAGATCTTCAAAAGCTATCCGTTGTCCAGGCTACTAACAAAATACCGTGCTCTCTTCCCAGGGCTGGATTCTTCTCTTTGGTATCCTATTTGGTCAGGCCCGGATATCTTGCTGAGGTGAGTCATACAGCTGCATCTTTGAAAAGGAAACCAGTGTGATTTGGGTTGTCATGAACAAATTCATCTACTAGGTTAAGGAACACACAGGAAACCTCCTCTTGACTGGGGCTAGGGGAGGGAGAAGAGAGGACGAGGACACATTCATCGCTTACTAGAAATGAGTTATTTTGCTCCATGTTAGTTGGTAACAGTTGTGAGTAGCTGTGATATATCTGTGTTGACTGACATGACTGAATTATTGTTTTGTGAGTAACTGAGTAGCAGGGAACAGTAAATCCTTCCAGATAGGCACTGCCAGAGGAAGACAGAAATACTCGTTTAGGTGAGCACCTGGCAGGTGCTAAGCGTGATACTGACCTGTCGACTGAGTGATGCACGAAACTTTGTAGGATGACCATATGCTTAGAACACAAAGAATCGTAGCTAGGAATCCAAAAGTCTGCGCAAAACAAACAACAATAATAGTAATAAAAAAAGAAATGTACACAATGTTAGAGGATTCATATTCCATGAATATGAGTCTCTTATATATCAAAATACGTATTTCCTGAGGTAATCAGATTAAAACTTGTTTTCTTCCACTCTCCAATATAGTAAAATTACTAAAAATTCTGTAGTATACAGCAGCTTACATCTGTCAAAACAAGACTGAAAGACTGAGAATCACATAAAAGTGGAAAATCAAGACGGAGAGCAGCATAAAGCTTCACCTTTAGACTCCTGCCTAGGGCTCTGGAACAAGAAAAGGACTTTTGCTGACATCTCCCATTCCTGCTCTTGTGGCAAATCCCATTCACACAGCAAAGGTGAACGTGGCCCATGCAGGGACCGATTTGCAGTTCCTGAAAAACCAGTCTTTGGAGAGCCCAGTACAGCTTTGACACAGAAGGCATCCATCCATGTGCCTTCTTGCCACTGGCAAGAGCTGGGATGCTTCTGAAGGGATAGGTGCACTCGCCACACACCATATTATTATGGGGAATATTTTAGGACCTCTCCAGTGAGGCCAGTGCTTTGATTAAAGGGGACTTCTTACAGTTCCCAAGACACCACCCTTGACTCAAGAAGGGAGAATATACCTGCTCCACAGACTGACCAAAAGCGATCTGTCACTAAACAAGTCTTTCCCTGCCATCTGCCAAATAAACAAGTTGGGCAAGTCTTGTAGCTTCTACAAAACACATTAGCAGGATTAATTTTCAGGGGGCAGTTCTTTTGCTGGACATGTATTTTAAGAACTTTTGCTGTCAAAATACTTCCGCCCCACTCAAGAGGCACAGCTCTACAAAGCCCTCCAGGCAACAGAGGCAGAGCACATCTAGTAAGTCAGCCCACGACCACCCTACGTTTTAGCTCAGAAGAAATGATCTTGAACGAGGCGCTATTCAAGAGCAAGTAGGTATCAAATGCAGAGATAGGGATGAGGTGACTTCAGTGACTTCTATTTGCTAGAACAGCAATTCATCAAAGTGACTTGTCTTAATTCTTCCTGCAGATACATTAGTCTCTGTGTGTTAAAGCTAGAGACTTTGGTTTCAGCTCATGGATGAGGCAAATACCCACTTCTGTGATGAGTCTGGAGTCCGCAACCCCTTTCGGGTGGCATTTTGTTACAGAACACACACTGAGGTGACTTTGGAAGTAGTTCACCCACTAAGACAAAAGCAAGGCAAGTCTAAGAGAATAAAATGACAAGCAATAGATTTATAACTACTGTATTAATTAAGTCCTACTTAATACACATTGTAATAAAAAAAAGTCAAGGCTAAAACTCAGTCTTACCGCTCCCGCCACCAGTCCACTCAAATTGTAACTCTTGGATGCTGCTACGATCGATGCAATGAGAAGCAGAATCGTACCGATTAAATAATGAAGGAATTCCTACAAAGACAAGAGTAACCTGCTTTAGAAGGAAAGTTTTTCAGGGAAGCATTTCAGTATGCATTAGAATCCAGATAACTTGGCAAAGGTCCCTCAACTGGGTCCTCAACACAGAGTAAAGAAAAATCAGAAGAAAAAAGTACACCTATAAAACAAACACCAAGGAAAATGAAACATTTTCTGAATTCTGTACCGTATGTGACTTGCTCTTTGAAAGGGAGGGCCAGTCTTCGTGTCCACTGATTTCACTGGAATTACATCTACTTACTGGCCTTTCAATCCAACATTACACATTATTGATAGTGAAATTTTTAATGTTTACAAAAGAGGAAAAGCAAATGCCTCTACTCCAGGATAACCTTAGAAGGCAAGGGGTGAATCTACGTCTGGATTTACTAACATCTCTCTTAAAACCGAGACAGGAGAGAATCAGAAAAACGAAACAAAACAAAATCCCCACAATTCTCTCAAACCCTCATAACCAGGATAAAAGTTTCAGGACATCTGCCTTAAGCCAGCAAGTGTGCCTGCAGGCCAGCTATGCAGCAAAACATGATGCCACAGCTTGCTCAGATGAGAGTGCTGAGGCACCACAGTCAACCTCTTCCCTACTCAGGGCAGGGCTGCTCCAGGAGCCGGTTTGGTCTCATTATAAGCAGAAATTATCTGGGGATTTAGATTCTGAATCCCCACAAAACTTAGGGCAAACAATGATTTTTTTTTCCCTAGAAGTTTATTTCTGCAAAATGAGCACTGGTTGTTCCCTTAGTGTGAGGGATGCAGAGGAGGGATGTCTGCCTTGCACGAGGAGCACGAGCCAAACAAGTGGCACGTATAAAAAGGGAAGAGTGATTCCTTCTTAAATCAAAGGAAAGAGAATATAAACTCAAAATGAAATTGCTCAAGGGAAATGGTCTATTGTACCACATGACAGCTTCCTTCTACTAGCTCAGGTGTTAAAGCAGCTGAAGAGGATCCTTGCAATGATGTATTTTCTCCAATTGCAACTTGCCTTCCTCTTTAGTAGATCCATAAATACTTTTACTATATCCACTAATACTTTCCAGGCAGACAAGTTAGCTGTCACAGATAAAATTAACAGGCAAAGGCCGTTCTCTCCTAGACAAATAAAGCAGTGTTTGCAGACCTGTGCTTTTGAGGAACCAAAGAATGGGCCGAAGAACTGACAGAGCCTAAGAGGAGCAACCCTGGCACAATCAGGCCAGTGCAACCTCCAAGCTTGAGCTCAGCTCTGAGCAGCATCCTGAACCACTATAATTCTGCTGGGTGCAAATCACGCCTCAGAAAGCTAGGAAGGGAACTCTACCAAACACTACTTGTAGTTTTATGGTCCTCTTACGGGACTTCCTAGTCTGTTCTTAACACATTTATTTGACCAAAGGGGAGTTAGTTGTAAAAGACGAATGATGCATCATAACAACCCATAAAGCTATTTGAAGTTAAGCAGCCATAAACTCCAGTGCCTTAAACATATCAGTGACTTTAGGACATTTGATGAACAAATGTGCAACAAAAATTAAAAGCATTTCAGTGGTGTATGCAAAGCTCAAAATGGCATGTCAGTCTTGTTGCGACAATGCACACTGTAAATGTAGTCTCTATTAAAAGCTAGCAACTATTTCTTGCATTTAAGATTTCTCTAAATTACTAAAAGCAGAAGAAAAGTTTAAGAGAGCTGATTAGTGTGAGATAGCACAAGAAGATGGACCACCTAATTTAAAGATCAGCCCAGTGAACTGACTCACCGCAAGGGGCCAGCTGACGCAGGTGAGCAGCCTGTAGATTCGGAAAATGTGGACGATGTAGAAGAACAAAATCATAACCAAGTCGCACAGGGCGACGATCTGAAAGTAGCTGTACGCGGTGTAGTCCGGCCACTGAGAGCTGTTCACACTGATGAACGCAATGAGCAGCGAGACCTGAAAGACAAAAATGCACATTATAGAGATTTGTTACAGTGCTCAGAGGCCTGCGGAGATTTTAAACACAACAAAAGGGTATTTAGAAACTGAAGAACAACAGGTTTAAAGCAAATCCCTCTACTCAGCCCTGATGAGGCCACATCTGGAGACTGTGTCCAGTTCTGGGCTCCCCAGTACAAGAGGGATGTGGAGCTGCTGGAGAGAGTCCAGCGCAGGGCTACGAGGATGATCAGGGGCCTGGAACATCTGCCCTATGAGCAAAGGCTGAGGGAGCTGGGCCTGTTCAGCCTGGAGAAGAGGAGGCTGAGGGGGGACCTGATCAGCATGTATAAATACCTCAAGGGAGGCAGTGAGGAGGAGGGGGGCGGCCTCTTTTCAGTGGTGAGCAGGGATAGGACTAGAGGAAACGGCCACAAGCTGAGGCACCAAAAGTTCCACAGGAACTGAAGGAAACATTTCTGGACAGTGAGGGTGCAGAGCCCTGGCACAGGCTGCCCAGAGAGGCTGTGGAGTCTCCTCTGGAGAGCCTTCTCTGCTCCACACCAAGCACCCCCAGCTCCCTCAGCTGCTCCCTCTCAGGTCTCTGTTCCAGCCGCTGCACCAGCTTCTCTGCCCTCCTTCAGACACACAACAAGGGCTCCCTGCAAGCTTTGATGTTTACGGAAGCGCTGTCCTCTTCCTGCCTTTATCCAAGAACAGCCTCCAAAGGCTACAAGGGCTCTCCCTCATTCAGGTGGGAGAGCACAGTAGCCACCGTGCTCAATTTCAGGTGTGCTGTGCAAACGGAGCAGCAGGAGCTAATTTACAGGAACTGTGCAATCTGCCTCGCGGCTCCTTTCGCACCCGACTCGTCACCTCCGACAACTCTTTCAATGTGTACAGAGCATCAGAAGGCCTGGGGCCTCCAAGCACAACCACCATCCAAATAACAAGGATTAGCTTAAAAAAATGCTTACTTAGTTCAATCATTGTTTTACCAGACCTGCTCTTTTACCTGCAGGGAAGCATGAAAGTATTTTTTTCTGCTTGGCAGAAAGGATACACATTTCAGAACAAACAGAAAGAAAAATGTGAGCAATCCAAGGATAAGGTCCAGAAAACCCATCTGAGGTGCTATAATCCTTAGAACTAATAAGATACAACATGTAAGTCAGTAAAGAATCTGCTACAGCTCCCCAAAACAGGACCGAAACTTGCAGTTCTTAAAGAACGTCCCTGATCAGAGGCACACAAGTCATTTCACACTGGGACAGAGCCAAAGGGGCCCACACCAACTCCTGTCCCTAACACTAAGCCCCGTGTGGCTGGCAGGTCCAGCCAGCACTAAAACTCACCCTATGAAGAAGAGAGCGAGCCAAAGCAGACACGCAACCCCTTCCTAAGCAACGCCACGGAGTATTATTTTTGCTTTAAATGTGGTGAATATCAAAGTTGCTCCATCAGGTATCAGTTTATCGTGATGTAACAGGTGATGAGTACATCTTATTTTCTTCACAGGTTCTTTTCCCGGAGATTGTGATGAAATCATGAGTATTTAGCAGCCTGGCATGCAATCCATCACATACTTCAGCAACTCATTTGTGGTACAGACACATGGGCATACATTGAGAGAAATGAATGGCAAAAAAAAAAAAAGTAATTTAATGATTAAATGTTATGATTGTTTTTATGCTTCCGTGCTCAGGCGTGCGGGTTGATAGATCTTAGAAATAAAAACTGGACTCACAGGAATTCAGGGCACTGAGATTTCCATTTCTGTATCGTATTTCTCAACATTATAAGCCTTGTAGGCTGCCAAAGCAGCAGCCTTGTGACCCATACTCAGCAAGGCAGTCAGACTAGAAGCACAGCTCAAATAAAGGTAATTTTCATTAGAAATTTTCAGTGGGCTCTGTCAAATGTAACCAGGTTCAGAGCTGCCTGACACGAGGTGCATGAGAGACACAAAGAAAATCTGCAACAACTCCAAGGGTTTTTTTCTGGTTTCAACAAAGCTCTGTCCTTATTCTGTTTTACAGAAGTTGATTGAATTCAGCTAACACAAGAAACTCGTTACGTTTCCCTTGGCCCCAATATTTTATGAAGAGTGGTCAGAAACACTGGGATATTTGAGGAATGACCTCCCAGCGAAGCCAACGGGAGCTGAAGGGAGGCAGCAATTGCCAGCAGCACCCAGCACCGTAACAGGCAGATCTCCAGGCCCTGAGGATAAGCAAGGAAGCCGGGCACAAGGAAGGACTTGTCAGGCTGCCATCCCTGTCCCCATGCCCTGGCTGGCACTTCACCTGGCTGCACAGCTATAGCCCAAGAATAAATCTGTGCAAGGACTTCATCTAATCTTTCTACTGTCCTGCTTCAATGGGTGTCATAAAGCCCTGGCTTTATTGCTGATGCTTAATTCTCTTGTAACATTTGGAAAAAAATCTGACTTTTTCTCAGGCCCACCTACCTGCAGAAATGTAAGTCCATGCCGATCCCCAATATGAGCAATACCCGGTTCCAAAGGAAAGCCTAATGTCCTGAGCAGCAGGGACAATGACAGAGCAAGGCAAGAACTGGGTTATCGGTGGCCCTTGGGTTCTGACCCCAGCTTTATAACCATTCTGTTGTCCAAACTTGAATAAATCGTGTAATTTCTCTGCTCCAGCTCCCCTACCCACCAAACAGGATCTGGTAAATACATCTTATACATTGTGTCAAAGATTTTCACCTTTAAAACACTTAGGCATGCAAAATGCCACAGAATTTGTGAACATTGCTAATAAATCCCTAGGTCAAGATGACCGTTTTCCTTTCCAGTGTGAATGCTCACCAAAAACCTCCTAGACCACAGATAAAACAAACAAGCAACGGGTGAAAATACTTGTGGAAAAAATCTTAAAACACCAAAAGAGGCGGTCACAGAACAAGTAGAAGAGTAGGAAAACAAAGCTATTTTCAAGGTGGGTTGCTTTAGGGTCACTTTGTTGCTGCTGCTGCACCGTACAAGATCAATAGAAGTAAGAAACCCAGTTCACCATAATGGGGTAAGTGGGATCTCTTGCAGCTGATTATTTACGTGCAGTTCACTTTGGTATCATGTGTTGCAGAAAAAAAATGTGAGAGCCACAGTAAACTCTTGCTTTCTAACTGCCAGCACACATTTAATACTAAGCTCACTGTCCATCCTGTTGACCATTCCCAGCTGTTGATCATCGCACGTTACCGCTGGCCTGCATCCAGCCCTTCTTCCACAGTTCTGCTAAGGACTACAGAGGAAGGATTATTCTTCCCTTCTGGGTCTGTAAAACATGCAGTACGGCGGGGGTCTGCTCCCTGCCTGGCACTCCTAGCTGCTCCCACAGTTTTAATCATCATCGTCATCTTCATCTCAGAAGGGAACTGACTGTCGTTATTGCAAATCATGCAATCAACCACATTCCTGCTTTTTTCCTATTTTCTCTCCTGACTGTGCTCCCTTCTATGCTTTATTTTCCCAGAAAAAAACTGTACCTTGTCTTAGCTTCTGTCTCCAGTGCTTGCTTTCCTTTTTCAGGCTGCTCCTTATTCCCTTCTCTCTTTCCCTGCTTTATGCTCTATATTTCCTCTGTTCTATAGCTCTCATTCTCCCTGAACCAAATTTCCCTCTCTTCATGCAATCGCACCATAATTCCCTCTTTTAATATATACTATTTATCTTCCGCATTCCCTTGCATCAGGATCAGCATTGCAATTAGCTAAACAAAGATTATTTCCAGTAGTGAGGAACAATCTGATCCATTTAACCCAACTCTGTCCATACAACAGGCAGGTCCCACCGTTCCCACTCAGCAGCACTGTGTGGCACCAGCAGAACGTACTGGATGGTCACAGTGACAGAAAGGGACGAGCAAACAGCTGCGAGAGGAAAAAAAATGAGAAGAATGCTCTTCTTGGGTGACAGTGAAAGGCAAAATGTCAAAACCCCTGGTTTTAGAAGCCCACTAAGCCAAATCCTCATTCAGAAGGTGCGGAAGCAAACGTTATGTTACCTCAGAGCACCATCCAGGAGAACAAGTGGAAGGGGCAGCTTCAACGGGACCAGTACCACAGGCAGTAGATTTACCCAGCTCCAACCTGCAGTTGCCAGGACCTGGAAAATCTAGAAGTGCTTTTCCTTTCCCATCATCTCTGACAATTTAACCCTCTAGAGACCAGAAACGGCTCTTTTGTTGTCGTTGCTTTTCCCCAGATGCAGTAAATGGCACTGAGAGGAGGGCTCCTCTTGCAACTCCTAGAGCACTGGGGAACCCTTGCACTGCTTTAATCCTCCTTCCATTGTCTCAGTATTGAATAAAAGGAGGAATTGGGAAATCACTAATGTTTTGAGCAATACTGCTCAAGTTCTATGCAGAAAAACAGCTTCACCGATTAATTTTGGAAGGAAAGATTACCTGGCAATGAGTCCAAGTGAATCTGAGAATCTGACCCTGAGTGCTACAAGTGAAACGGCTGAAAAGCGGCTGCTTCCACTCCCTTAAAATAACCCACGTTTCAGTGCAAGCCACGGCACAAAAGCCGTCTGTCTACAGTCCCGGGCAAGGAACAGCACCAGTTTGCATCCAACTTTTATCATAGCTTTAAAAAAAAAAATGATATAAGAGCTAGATGCTTTTATTTTTTTAATGGAAAAAGTCAAAGTTTCCAGCTTGTGAGAGCCAGGAGAGCAAGTGGAATTTTCCAGCCCCAGGAGTGCCAATTAGGATAACCCTGCACTGTTTAGATGCTCTCACAGAGGAGAGGTGTCACTGACGCCCGCTGCACGCTTCCAAGTGTTGCACCTCAACCCAGCGAAGCAATACGCGTGTTATTTATTTCAGGATGGAAACAGCAACTTGTGTGAGCAGCGTCCTGGCCCGGGAAGATGGGCAAAGCTCAGGCTGAGGCTGCACAGGCAGCTCCTGCAAGACTCCTGTAGTTCATCTCAACCACAACGCCGGCCGCTGCTGTAATCCATGTTTCCTTCTTCCAGCACGGTG